TTTTTTTTTGCCCAAAAGGCCCAAAATAAGGAACTGGTATTGTTTTACCATTTGACTTTCAAGAAATAAGAGCTAGCACTCAGAGCAATAGGATTTAAGTATGTTAGAGGTGTAGAAAGTTTATTAATTGGTAGTATACTGTTTTTCTTTCTCAAATTGGGATTAAGTACTTGATTACTCATTTTTATTTGCATAAAAATTCTCCTAAGAAACAAGAAGTACCCTTAGACATATAAATATATAAGTTATATAGAAAAGAAGAAAGGGTCCTAGGAAATTCATATGAAAAAAATTATGCCACCAACTTAGTAGGAATAATTAGTAGACAACTAGATATACAACCCTCTTCCCTCTTCTGTTGTTCCTTGTGTCAACTTTAAAAAATGCACAACATGAGAGTTGCCAGTTAAGTTTTATTTGGTGCAAAATGAGAACTGCAGCCCGGGAGATAGCATCCCAGATAGCTCTGAGAAACTGCTCCAAAGAGGCAGGGAGGAAGGTCAGTATATATGTGATTTTGGTGAAGGGGGCATACATGTAATCGAGCCCATATATATATTTTTTAAGCCCATATTTTTTTTACAGAAGGTTTCTGCTACTCACAAGGAGCAGTCATCACTATGAAGGATTTTAGTGTTTTTCTAGATATGACTAGATATAAGAATTGGGCTCATAAAATCGTCTCCTGAAAATAACAATCTGAAGACCCATTCTGCCAGTTTTTCCCAGAGCACAGAGTACCCCACTTCTGCTCTCCACCCTGAACTCCTTTCAGGGGGTGTTGAAAATCAGCAGCTGCAGAAGCACCTGATTTAATCCTTGTAGAGGTAGATGGCAAGTGCCAATGGCGAGTGCCAGTTTGTAGTTGACACTTGTAATAGCTCATCTGGGACATGGCTGTTCACTCACTATGAGAAAGAACATCAGAGAAAAACTAGAACTTGGCAATCAATCTGTCCAATAAGACAAGACAGACAATAAAAGTCAAACTCTGGTGAGAACAAAGGATTGGCAGGGCAGGCAAGTTTGTTATCTGTACTAGTTAGGATAAACTGGGTTGTAACAAACTTCTCAGCAGCTTATTGCAACAAAGGTTTAGTTCTCACACGTTGTATGTTTGATACAAGTCATTAGGAAGCCCATCACAAATGGGGTTCACTGGAAAACAGACCCTGAAACAGATTTGCGTATAGGAGGTTTTGGGGTAGTGCTCTCAAGAACAATCTCTGGAGACTGTGGGTCACAAGATTGAGCAGAGGGAGAAGTTGAACTGCAGCACAGTTACAAAATTGAGGCTTCAGCCAGTTCTGCAGGGAGCTCTGGCACTAGGATGGCCCTTCAACATTGTCCTAAATTGAGTCAGGGGCTAGGTCTTTATACCCTTACGTCAACCCATCATTGGATGTGGGCTGCACCCAGGGAAGGGAGGTGCTTCTTGGGTGAGAGGGCTCTCTTTAGCCAAGAGCAACTCCTCCAGAAAGGGACTCAGTTGAGAGCTGTCAGCCACCAATATTTCCAGCAGTTGGGAGACGTAGTGTTTCAGTCCTAAAGGGTGGATCTTGGAATTCAGTACAGCATCCACTACATGGACTCTGCTCATTGTAGTCACTGAAGTCCCCAGACTGTTGGATGCTTCACTGAGATACATGCTTTCAAGATTGCCACAATAGGGATCATAAATTTTAATTGCTAGTCTACAGTGTCTTGCTCTAGCCATTAAAATGCTTCCACCCAGAAGCAATATGCTTCACTTCCACTCACACTTTATTGGCCAAAGAAGTGACATGGCTAAACCTAACCTCAAGAGAAAAGGGAAATATAATTCTATCCCACTTGACTAGAAGTAGGAGGACTTAAAAATTTGTGAACAACCTTAATAACTACCATGGTGCCCAAGGGGAAGTTAATCCCTAGTACTCTAATCACCAAAAGCCCAACAAGTAGTATAGGAGGGTTTTCTAACATACAAGAAAAACTTTGGTGTAAGAAACTGGGAAATGAGGGGAGCAACACAGAAATCCAGGTGAACAGACCAAGAGCATCTCAAAGATAGATGGATTTTCACTAGGTGGTATGGCTCCTCATGGATTATATCTTTCCTCTGAGGTGGAAGACTTGCAAAAACAAAGTAAGGCCCTGATTTTAGGAGGAAACTGGCAGGACTAAGTAGATCATTAGAACAAGGATTGGAATAAGGACCAAGTCAGAAACCCTATTATGTCCTCTGTGGACTAATAGGAATTGCCTGGGCTCAGAGATAATGAATACTTTTAAGAACAAAGCTTATCATCATAAAGC